CAGCTGGTTTTAGAGCTCTTTAAGGAAGCATCTGTTTGTATCAGATGGAGATCATTACAAACAACCACATCTAACCCAAACGCATAGAACAAGTGGCCCTGGGGTGCCCGGTCCCAGTTGATACAGCTGCGATACATCCCCTACACTTAGGGCTCAGGGAACATCTCAGAAGAGAAATAGGAAATTTCCTACAGCCAGAGCACCGGGAAATCTCCTGTGAGGTTGCGTCTCCTAGAAATGACCAGGAGACTTCAGCTGTGATTTCTCAACAGCATGGCTGTACAAACCAGACCTGAACCGGCACAACAGCAATAGACACACCAACATGGAAGGGGAAATCTCACAGGGCCCCCAACCCTAGACACAGGACCACAGGCATCTCAGGAATGCTGAGAATCGGGTAATTATTCCTTCCCAGAGATGAGCTCCCTAATTCTTTTTTTTTTTTTTTTTTTTTTTTGTTCAGTTCAGGCAAGGTCTCCCTTAGTGGACCAGGCTGATTATGAACTCACAATCTCCTTCCTCCGCCTCTGCCTCCGGGTGCTGATATCAATTCGCCATTCTGCTGATTCAGGTGTCCCACTTTTGAAAGATAAGTCAGAAATACAGATGTTTTCGATTTGATTTGGAAATTTCCCCAAATGCTAATATTGCCAGGGTTTGGTTTTTTGGTTTTTTTTCTTTTTTAATTAAATGTGTGCAATGTTAATAAGATTCAGCCTGAAGGTCTCTAAACACCCTACAGGGCGGGATAACCCATGGCGCTCAAAATTTCATAAGAGCGAGACAGCCTCGTTCTTTTGGGGGGGGGGAAACTATGGCTGTTTTCAAATCACAAAGGTGACAAACCCATCACAGTTAGTCACAAGGCTGTCTCAGACTCCCACAGGGATGGCAATAACATGACTTCAGGGACGAGAAATAATGGCATGGGGCAGGCAGAGAGAAGGGAAGAGGAGAGGGGACAGAAGAGACGGAAGAAGGGGGAGGGGGGCAACAGAACAAAACAGAACAAGAAAGAGTGGGGAAAAGGTTTTAGGCTACATCCCAATTATAAGCCAGTTCTTCAGGATTCATTTTTCATGTGTATTTAATGTTCCCATCAATCCTGCATCAAGTCGGTTTGAGGAGAGAGACGGAAGAGAGAGAGATGACACCAGCTCTCAAGGCCTCCGTGTCTGTAATTCATCCTTCTCAGCCTGGCTCCTATAAGATCAGCGGCCTCCCTTAGGGAATGCCCCTTAGACTCTGCTATGGGGACACCAAAAGCCTCTCTCCAGGGGAAAAGCTGATCTCTCTCTGCCGGCTAATGCTGGCCTCGGGTACACAAAGCTCATCTCCCGAAGGCTGCTGCTGTCCCTGCTGTGTTTTTCGTAGTAGCCTCTTTCTAATCTGGGCTTTTGTTCTCTTCACCAAATGTCCTGACTCCAAGTCCTCCTCCTGTTTTCCCATCGTGGTGACCTGCCACCATCTGTCAACCTGATCTTTGGAGGTGGTAGGGGGAGGAAGATCCATCTCTTCTGTGTTCTGTGTCTGCTGGACCAAATTACAACCCTTCTGTGTGTGTGTGTGTGTCCATCTACGTGTGAAATTCAGGTTTTTGCATTTGCAGACTCCCGTTTTAAATGTTAGTCATTAAAAACATAACTATATAGGTAGATTGAATGACAGAGTGTAAGAACAACTAAACAGGATATAATTAAACATAAACATAGAATGACCACAGGATATAATTATACACATGAAGTATATTTATAAATCTAACATCCTCCAGAAAATCTCTACTTGCTATATTTCCATGTATTTGGTACGGAATAAACATTGGGATTTTTTTCTTCATTTTTTTTTAATCCATTATGGTGGCTGAAGAGATGGCTCAGTGGTTAGAGCACTGCCTGCTCTTGCAAAAAGACATGAGTTTGAGTCCCAGCACCCACATGGCAGCTCACAACCATCTATAACTCTAGTCCCAGGGGATCTGATGCCTTCTTCTGACCTCTGCAGGATCCAGGAGTACATGTGACGCACAGATCACACCTAGGCAAAACATCCACACACATGAAGTTTTCTTTTAAAAACTCCATTGTGAACACTTATTATATTTGACTGGCCCTCAAAAGATGGCGAATGGCATTCCTGGTGTGACCCAGTGGGTTACAGAAGTCCTTCATAATCCACCATGTAAATACATGGAATTACAATGACTGTCATTGCCTGCTTTGCATGCTGGGTAGAGCCCTGAAGCCTGCTGGACTGGAGACAGCCATCCCGATGGCCTGGAACAAAGCTAGGTAACGACATAGCTTGCTATTTTTCTCAAGTTTCCAGTCCCTTGTTACAAACATCATCTATAAAAGGGCATGTTTATAAACTTTTACAAAGTGGCCTGCAATCTTGGCGAATGCCATTTATGGATCTGGCTCCACCAACCTCAGAGCTTCCTAGGTCGTCCAGGGGAGCAGAAGGCTGTGAGTCAGGCTCTGAGCTGTGAGGGGGTCTCAGATGTGTGGGGGTCAGTCTCCTCTCTGGATGCCCCCTGACAGCTTCCACTCCTGACTCCCCTATCAAGTGGGAACTCGATAAACGGTCTCTAAGGTCCCTGGCAACTACATCTACTATAATTCTACTGCAGTGACAGCCCACAGTCACAGTCACCTGGGAGACTCGGAAGGTGTCAGCACGCCAAAGGGCCTCGCACCATTTTGAGACTTCTAAAACTGAGAATGTGCTCATGTGATAAATACAAGAATCCAGATGCCATCCGGTGACCCTGGTCAGTGTAGATACCTAAACATAGGGAGAAGAAAATTCAGGTGGCCTCGGCCAGGACTCCGTTTGCAAGATGGCAGTCCTGTCTTTTCACAGACAGGGTATGGAAGATGGTTGGTGACTTTTCTGAGCCCTACCTTGTGCAGAAAGCACAGGGTTAGAACCAGGATAAGGCAATATAGGCGCTTAACAACTCTATCAGGGCCTCCCACACCCCTGTCCATGTGCTTGCTGGTGACCCCTAGGTGTCAGTTCCCCTAAATCCCTCCAGATGGTGTCATCTCATTCCTGTGAGTTTGAACTAACCACTCCAGCTAAGGGCTTGCTGCTGCCTGGCAGGTGCCGCAGGTGAGTGTGGGCAGGTGATACTGGGGAGGAGAACCAGGGGGAATGGCTCTATGTCCTTCTTTAGACAACTCAAGGCCACTCACTTCCTTGCCGAGTGACAACCCGCCCTGACTCCTGCTCTCCATGTCTGGACAGTCCCTTGGCTCATACGTCAACTCTGTGCCCGTCTAAGGCTCTCGTGGCGGGGATAGGGGTGGGAGAAGAGGCTGACAGAGATCAGGTTTTCCTAACGTCTCCATCGGGGTTTCTCCTCCATAAGAGGAGAAATCTAACGTGGCCTTGCAGAGAAGGCTGAATGTTATAGAAAAAGAACGTAAGCCAAAATCCAAAGTGTAAGAAAGATGGGGGCGGGGGAGGAAGCAGAGCAGAGAGGATAAAACAAACAAGGAACAGAAATAGAAAGGAGGAAGGAAGGAGGGAAAATGGAAAGAAAAGGTGAGGGGGGAGGCAGGAAGGGAGGAGGGAGGGGGAGGACAAAGGAAGTACTAGGGATGAGGGTAGAGAAGGGGATCTGAAGGAAGCACTCTCTAGGTAGCCATTCCAGATAACAAGATGCTGAGAAGTACCTAGGCTCCCTGACCTGAGCTTTGGACACCCTTAGGCTACATCTTCTTTGCCTTCTTTTTCTGTGGTGCACATGAGCTGGCCTGGCTGAATGGCTGCTACTGCTCTCTTAAGGATGCTCAACCAGAAAAGTGTTGGTTCCACCCGACATTAGGTTAGGAGTGCGGCATCTGTACAGAAAGAGGCTGGACCCACACCACTGACATTTATAGAGTCCAGAATGCTGGCTCATGTGCATGTGGAGTGTGGGTGTGTACACATGTAAGTATGGGCAGACATGTATGGCTGTGTACATGTGTGCAGAAAATAAGTCAGAGGTCAGATTCTAGAAAAAAATTCTTGAAGCTTGCTTTTCTCACACCAGCGATACGCATAGATCTAGATCTGACAGGCTGATGGTGCCCATTGGTAGGGGCAGCCCCCAGTCTCAGCAGGGAGAGAGAGCTTTCCCTAACACAGTTTCACGTATGTTCTCCAGATCCATACCCTCTCTGCCACCTTTCACAGTGTTTGCCGTGTTGGCTTGTGTAAGCAGCGGTAGGGCAGAGCTCCCGTTTAGAGGTGGGCTGGTCCAACGGATCGGTTCTGCTGGGAATCCCAGGCTCCCTGAGCTCTGAGTCACTGGCTTCCTTACTCTGACCCACCAGGCTTTTCCAGAAATGGGCTAGACATTCTTGTCGTTTGCCTCTGAACCTTCAGGAAGAACCTCTGACCCGGAGAACCTGCCAGGAGCAGGCGACAAAGCCCCTTTTCATTCATCCCCACTGTAGATGTGGCAAGCCTCTTATCTATAACAGGGCTGTGATCCATCCTTCCAACAAGTGTCATCCTCCTGCTTCTAAAAAGGGAGTCACAACAGCCAAAGACAATTGTCCCAATGGTGTCCTGCCTCTCCACCCCCTCTGCATGTTCAGCACAGTGGCAAGTGCTACTTGGTGGTATCCAGGACATTCAGGAGGGCAGCTCGCAGCATCATGATGCTGGAGGCACCAGGGAGAGTGCCCATGGTGGGGGCCCTGAGTAGGCACAAAGGTGATGTTGAAAGAGCAAAAGCCACTCTATTCTGAAGGACATGTCTCCTTAACTAGATGACAACACCTGACCTGAAGCAAGAGGCAGCTGGGACAGAGACCAGCCTCCTCATCCACGGCCTGAAGACACTGGTCACACCAGGGCTGTCATCTCGAAGGACAGGATGTATTTTCTAGGGATGAGGATCCCAACAAGGGGTTAAACAAATAAATTCTGGTATACCTCCAAAGGCAAGGAGAAAAACAGACAGCCATCAGAGCCAGGGCTGGGGAGCGGGGGAGGCTTACCTGGATGTTCCTGGGCTCTGGGCTGAGTACTACACACCTGCAAGGAAAGATCACAGGATAAGTGCTGGGACATTCTCCTGAAGTTGTGCACCCCAGCTGCCTTGGTGGCCCAGGGTATTACCTGGAAGCTGCAGAAGGACCAGACTAGCCAGACCCAGTGGCAAGGGAATGCTGGAAGATCCTTCATGGTGGGAGCCAGGCAGTGGGATCCCCCACAGCCTGCGGGAAACTTCTCTACCTCCTGCTTCCTGGGGACAAGGACATCTTCATCACAGGTTTCTGGCCACAAAGTCCGTCCCCTAAAGTTTGTGATGTATAGTGCCTGAAACCAGCTGGGATGATTCTCCTCTCCGAACTGGAGTCTTCGGGGACCCGAAGGCTAGACGCAGTGCTGAGTTGGATAAGCACTCCTTCTCGGCTCCACCAGAGTCCCCAAGCCTCTGGCTGCTGCTGGGCAAGCCAGGACCTCTGGGTGCCTACAGGCTCAGGAGTCTGTGTCCTGGGCCTGGGACTGGTGGTCAATTAGTTGCCTCCTGTCTCAAGTCTCAAGTCGGAGCTCAGAGCTCAGCCCGTAGCTTGGAGCTTAGTGATGTGTGCGCTGCCTCCCTCTGCAGCTGAGCTCCGCCACACCTCGTTGGCCCAGAGTCCAGCCCGTGGCTTTGGGTGGAGAGCCAGAGTGATGTCAGCAGGCCTCAAACTTTGTTCTCCTCTATTTATATCCGTCCCACTCTGGCCTTTTCTGGGTCCTAACACCAGTCTGTTAGAAACAGCTGAGTCCCTTCCAGGACTTTCCCATCAAAAGGGGGCCAGACTGGCTTGGGGCTTTATGCTTGTGCAAGAAAGTGTGAGTGTGTGTGTGTGTGTGTTAAGTGTGGGAGAGGTTGTGAGGGTGAGACTGTGAGTGTAATGGTGAGAGTGTAAGTGGGTGGGGTGAGAAAGTGTGTGTGTGTGTGTGTGTGTGTGTGTAAGTACATGTGTGATAGTATTGGGGTGCAAGCAGGTATAGGTATTGAAGGATAGTGAGCATTGGGGGTGCGTGTGGGAAGTAAGAATAGGTATAAGTGACGGATGGGGAGCAAGTGTGTGAGGCTGTGAGCAAGTGTGTGAGGGGGTGAGCAAGCGTGTGAGAGTGTGAGCAAGTGTGTGAAGAAGTGTGTAAGGGTGTGAGCAAGTGTGTGAGGGGATGAGTAAGTGTGTGAGGATATGAGTAAGTGTGTGAGGGTGTGAGCAAGTGTGTGAGTATGTGAACAAGTGTGTGAGGATATGAGTAAGTGTGTGAGGGTGTGAGTGTGGGGTTATGTGGGTGTCAAGGAGTGCGGATGAGGTGTGGGTCTACAAATGTTAAGACATCTTCTGCTCTGTGCTTTCATAGTCGCCATGTGCGTGTGAGTGTGGATGTGCACACGTGTGTGTGTATATGAGTGTGGTATTGTAGAAATGGGGGGTGAAGGTGTGTACGCATGTGCCATGTGTATGCATGTGATGTGTATACTAATGTGACATGCGTGTTCATGTGATATGTCTATGCATGTGATGTGTACGTGTGTGATATATGTATGTGTGTGATGTGTGTTTGCATGTGATATGTGTACACACATGATGTGTGCATGCATGTGATGTGTGCATGCATGTGATGTGTGTATGCGTGTGATACGTGCATATTCTTTGGATGTGTATGAGTGTGTCCATGTAGGCATGTAAGGCACGAGTGGGTGAGTGTGGGCAGCGATGGGTGTGAGTAAGGTAGGTGTGCGTGAGTATGAGTGTGGGTGAGTGTGGCTTGTGAGCGGGTTTGAGGGTATATATAATACATGTCTATTCTCATTAGCACCCTCAAAGTCTTATAAGGGCATGGAGGTCTGTGAGTTAAAAAGCATGTATTGCTATTGCAGAGGACCTGGGTTCGATTCCCCACACTCACATCAGACAGCTCACAACCGCCTGTAACTCTGATTCCAGGAGATCCAACACCCTCTCTGGCCTACTCAGGCCCCTATACACATAAACTCATGCAGCCTCACACACATACACGTAAATAAAAAGGAGACATCTTTAAGGCAAAATGTTAATAAGCACAAGTGTAGGTGTGGGTGGGTGGGTGTGATAGGGTGTGACTTGGTGCCACTGTGCACATGGATGTATTGCGGGCTCATTCCCACCGGCACCATCAAAACCCCTATCAATATTAGTTAGCACGGGTGTGGCTCGCACTTGGAGTTCCGCTACGATCTGGGTCTTGTTCAAGCATGGGAAAACACAGGAAAGAAGTCACCTACGCCTGCCCATCCAGAGCTGGCCATGCTCTCTTCAACCCGCCTTGCAGAATTCAAGGGCACCCCCTGATGTTTGACACCATCCTTAATCAGGCCACCCTCACTTAGCACCCAACCAAGTCGGACTTCCTGTTAGCTGTGCCTCAGTTTAGCAGAAGCCAAGACTTGATCCACCTTGCTCCAAATGTTCCAACACGCAGGCACGCATGTATGCACGCGTGCATGCACCCATGCACACACCCAGGCGTGCACCCACATCAGCACCCGTCCAATTGCCTTCCCCACAAAGTATGTCCAGTAGCACAGCCACAAGGCACAAAGCTCCCTCGCCCGGGGTCTCCCCACTTGTGTGCTCTTGGGCAGGGCTGTCTCCCGACTGGATTTCTCCTCTGCAGACTGGAAGGCAGCACCGAGTGTCCAAGAGATGGAGGCTAACATATAAGGCCTTTAATTCGGGGCTTGGAAGAGAGGTAACACGTTCAATAAATGTTCCGATTACTACGATAAAGTGGAAAATAACACCCAATAAACTTGAGCTATCATTATCCATCTCAATGGCCCTGACTTTAAATGGGAATTAAGAGTCCTGAGTCCAGTATGCTTCCTAAAGAGGACGGGAAAAGGGTTTCCAGCTCCTGGAAGGGGGAGGGAAAAGGACGTCAAAATGCAAGGTGACTGCAGTAATTCCTGCCCTCTCTGACAACTTCTCTTATTATCTGGTCACCTCACTGAGGAAGGTTCCAGATGGTTCTGTGGATAGCCCTCATCCCAGAGCCAGAGAAACTGGACTCTGACCTCCAGGCTGTTTGTAATAATGGCCTTTAGCTTAGTGCCTAGGTGCCGTTCAGGGAAAGGGGGATTTATAACTTTCTTCTCGTTTCAGTCCTCTCTCCCCTTCCCTAGAAGGACGTGAGGGGAAGGGCCTCAGCCCCATCTGAACCCAAAAGATTAAACAGATTGCTGAGTACAGGCCTTTTTTGTTTCCAAAGCGGAGAATAAAACCAGGAGTTTCTTTTAGTATAAATTTGTCCTTGGATAAAGGGAGACACCGGATTCAATGACAACTGCAAAAACCTGGAGAGAACATCCATTTAGGCAGAACCATCTGCCAGGTGTGAGAGCCTAGCCACAAGGTCCCAGGCCATAGGGTGCTCACGGTACTTCCGCACCCTCACCGACTTGGGTAGCAAGCCACCGCCATCCTCCGTGGTTCTGAAATGCTGGCTTTGAAAATCTCAACTGCAGAGAAATGTATAAAGCCAATGTGGCAAATAAAAAGTGAGCGGTTGCCTGTGGTGGTAGCACACACCTTTATTTCCAGCACCCATGAGGTAGAAACAGGCTCATCTCCAAGAGGCCAACCCAGTCTATATAGAGTTCTAGGTGAGCCAGGACAGCATAGTAACATTTGATCTCCAAGGTTGTGGGGGTGGAGTGGGTGTTACCAGTTACAGGTCTCCCTGGGGACAGCTCTATTCCTACTGACTAATCCATGAATTTCAGTCCAGACTGTTGGGTGATGTTTCCATCTCTGTATACACCATAGAAACATTTAATTAAGTTAATTCATTCATCCATCACTAGATCATTTTTTAATCATGATTCTATGATGAAAATTTGGAAGGCCATGTCATGTTATTTCTATTACATTTGTCGGGTTGGGGCGTGGGGGGAAGGTAGTAGATGACAACCTGTAAGAATCAGTTCTCTCCTTCTACCACGTGGATCCCAGAGATGAAACTCAGGTCATCAGGCTTGATAGCAAGCACCTTTACCCACTGAGCTGTCTCCCTGACCTACATGTTATTTACTACGGGTCAGAGGGCAGTTTGTATATGTCAAAAGGATCCTCCCCCAGCCTCCTGAGTCTTTGTACCCAGGACCAGCAATGTCTCTTCCCAGACTTGCCACCTCTGGTCTCTGCTCACTGTGTTATTCCTATGAAACTTCCTTCCTGGGATGTGGGGAAAATTTAAAAAGGCCGCCGCTGTGGCGGGTCCCACATTAGGGAGGGAGATCCTATGGTTTCAGCAGCCTGAGGGCCTTGGCGGCGGCAGGCCCCAGTAACACGAGGAAGTCCTTGGTTCCAAAAAGGTTTATTGTCATGGCGGATAATAGATAGATCTAGGCGTACCCCAAAAACTCAGGGCAGTCCTGAGTTATATAGGGAGGGAGAAAAGGGGGAGGATTGGGGGAGGATCTGGGGGAGGCATGTTTAGTTTGCTCTGCCCTCTGGCCTTCATTAGTATGTAAATCCCTAGAGCCTGAAGCCTATAGCCTGGCCTATGTGACTCTACAGAGATCTATGTGACTGCTTTTTAGGATCCTCGATGATGGGAGGGACCGAACTCCTGCCGGTTCTCACGCAGAATTCCACGGAGAATCTCGGGGTTCTAGGCACCTGCTCAACCATGACCCAGGATACCCTTACGCAGTCCCACACTGGGACATCATATACAAGCAATCACCCCGTGTCTGTCTATGATTTGCTTTATTCACTTAACATAATTTTGGATATGGATCTGGGGTGACGTGTGGGCCTGCCATCCAATAACCAAGTCCTCTTGTGAGCCTCCCTCCGTCACTCCCTCGGGTGGCTCCCAAGTGTCAGAACGACAGGTGGCTCTCAGCCCTTGTCTGCTGTTTTTCTCTCATGGACATTGATCACCACCTGACACACATTTTTATCTCCAGCACTCATTTCTGTAACCGGCATGCTCTTCTGGCTGAAATGAGCACACAGCAGAGATTCGTGCCCACTCTGGGACAGGGCCAAGTATCTGACATCCAGTATTCAAACAGTACCTTTTGAATAAACGCATGCCCAGTTAACTTAAGGGATGTGTGGGGAAATGTTGTGGCTTAGTTTAAAAATAAATAAATATAAATAAGCAATCAGATTTTATTGAATGGATGCTAATTAAATATTCAAAATGGGCCTTAAGCTTTGATGAGGTTCCGCCCTGTAAATATTTACAGCTTTTGCTGGTGACAGGGGGTGAGTGAATCACTCAGGGGTCTGCCTGAGCAGGACAGAGTGCATCCTGCAGGAGTCAGTCTGAGATGGCCAAGAAACTGAGGCAGAGACGTTTCTTTGCTGAGCTCTGTATCCCAAAGTACACCACCCACCCACTGTCATGTGCCTTCCACCAGCTGTCACAGGTGGGTGGGACAGCTAGTTGGTATGTTTCCTCACACACA